GACTGGTTGTTTCATGTGCCAGTCTATTTTCTTGTATTACATGTTTTTGGGACTATCTTAAGTTTTGGACTCGCATAAATTATGGCAGTATTGAGAGTCCACAATTTTCAGACTAGTTTTACTATATGATGTTTACGGGAATTATTTTCTCACCTTCTCCGTCATTCGACTGAAGGAGTTATCAAACAAAGAGGTAATCTCCAGTTTCATGAGTGCCAAAGCTGAAACAAAATTTACAAAAAAAATTGCAAAATTAAACAAGCTCCCACAGTCAAATATCAAAAAAAAAAAATGATTCAGGCAAAATTTTAAAAAACATGTTTAGCATCCCGCCCGCTTCCTTTTTGGAGGCCGCCTCCTTTTTTGTGTTGTTTTAAAAACATGAACAAATGATAAATTGTAAACAGTGACATCATTTTGGCCTCTTCGTCTGTTGCATCTAGCCCATACAAAGCTGGTATGTCATTCCTTAGTCCAAGTGGCAGCCATTTATAAAAAAAAAGTTGGCGGCCATCTTGAAAAAAAAGCCCAGTTCGGGTGGCCATTTTGGTAGGACAAAAAAAAATGTCTCCTTTTTTTTTTTTAAAAGCAGGACGCTAACATGTTTTTTCCTTACTTGGCCTAACTTTTAAAAAGGACAAGGGATTATTCTTTTCTCTCAGCTAATGTTGTCTTCTCTCTCCCCATGCTCTTGTTTTTTTTTAATCCAAATGAGGCGCTTACGTGTAAATTCCTTCTTGTTTGCGTGCTTCAGTGGCAGCGCTTTATTCGTCGGTGATCTCAGTATAAAATTTATATCCATGTCTCCCCCTTCAATGACCTGCAAATAAAGTCAAAGAAAAAAGTGGTTTATTTTCCAATATATTTAGGTGGGCGCGGACATCTGGAAATATTTTTGGTAACACATAGCAACTGATGAAAAAGATGAACAGCCTGCCCCACCTATTCTAAAATTAAATGGCCTTCCACATCATGCCCCGACTTAGCCCCACTAGTGTGGCCGTCGGTATGCTGCGCTGAACCTAAGGCCACACACCATGGTCCGCGCACTACTGAGGACGTTTTCATAAAATTTGCAGGGAATTTCTTACATATGGTTGTATTCTACGATGTCCCATCTATCACTTCTGGGATGCTTAGGTGTAATGATGTTCAATTTTCCGAGATATTCTTGAATCTTTCTGGAGCCCATATGCACTCGTGAAACGTCCGGTGATGGCAGCCACTTTGAATGTGACAAGAGATGACCTCAAGCTGTGACGTCGCGTTTATGCAAATTGCTTGTCGAGCGAGGGCGCGAGTTGCAAATGTGACGGCTGTTTCCTGTGCCGTAGATCCTGAATAGAGATCAGTGCACGTGGCCCCCAGACGGATAAATGCATGGTACAGGAAACAGCCGTCGCATTTGCAACTCGCGCCCTCGCTCAACAAGCAATTTGCATAAACGCGACGTCACAGCTTGAGGTCATCTCTTGTCACATTCAAAATCGCTGCCATCACCGGACGTTTCACGAGTGCATATGGGCTCCAGAAAGATTCAAGAATATCTCGGAAATTGAACATCATTACACCTAAGCATCCCAGAAGTGATAGATGGGACATCATAGAATACAACCATATGTAAGAAATTCCCTGCAAATTTTATGAAAACGTCCTCAGTAGTGCGCGGACCATGGTGTGTGGCCTTAGGTTCAGCGCAGCATACCGACGGCCACACTAGTGGGGCTAGCCCCGACTAACACAAAATCACTTCAGCCCAAAGACATGACAGAAAGCCAACAAGAATTTTGTTGTGTACAAATCAGAAATGTTCTTAAACTTTAGCTTCTTTAAAGGGAATATACATCATTTGCTTTTGCTGTAATTTTCAGAAATGGATGGAATTGGGGGATTGGAAATATAAAGCAAATATAGTTACACTGACTTTTTGGAGGTTTTGGGTTCGAAAATGCTATAAAAACCGAGAAAAACGATCATTTACCTGTAGTCTGGTTCCCTGACTCCATATAAGAGGAAACAGAGCAGTTTACATACATTGGGGAATTGTAAGGTCAGGGAACCAGTCTAGCTGGCTCGTACCCGTTCATAGGTTTGTAATCGATTGCAAACAAGTGCAATAGTCAATTGGGGCCAGTATTTGAAAAAAAGCCAGTTGTTTCCAACGCTGATCGGCCGATCAGCGTTGGAAATTGATACAAAAATACCACTTTTCTTGAAAATGACAGTATACCAGGTGCCATAATTTTACAGGATGCTTTAGACCGTCATTTACCAACGTCCTATTAAGGTATTTCGCAAAAACTTGGTAGTTTTATTTTTCGATGTTTGCAAATGTTGTATATTCCCTTTAAAAGGGGGAATTGGAATGTTTTCTGCCCCAAACATGCTGGTGCAAATAAAAGGTGATCATGTAAGTACTAGGCCCTGTTCCCTGGAGAACAAAATTCATTCTAATTTAGTTGACTAACTTGACTTCAAAACTAGTTGGGGGCATTAAGAGTAAGAATAAGCAGGTATGTAGAGCATGTAGCATGTGTAGAGAGCAGGGTTTTGAATTTGTCAGGGAAATTTGGGGTAAAATTACGATGACAACAAAACATAACACGAAAATAAAATGGTGATAACCACGATATACCGTGTACGAAGCACCAACATGCAACAGTAGTACGAAAATCCCAATTTCTAGTTTTCTACCCCCCAAAAAACTGTTCAAATTACAAACCATGTAAGCCTACAACAGAGCCTGCTTAGGCTTGAAAAATTCTTTTTTAATGATAAAAAAAACCCTTGACTGTACTTTATATTTGATCAAACTAAAGAGGGGCCCTATACTACACGATCGCCAAATACATCATTGACATTGGCCGAACTCGCACGTTTATCTATTTATTTTTTGACACACACACACCTGAAATTCGAAATCCAAGGTTTTCTGTTCTTTGATGCGTTGATGAAAGCATTCTCTTCTGCCAGCCGGGACGACGACTGTTAAATCATGCTCTATACACCAACATGTCCCTAGGATACTTATTAAAAATACTGCAACAAAATATTGCAACATTTTAGGCGAAAATTCAATCATTTTCCCCCTCGATTGTGGAGAGACTTCCAACAAAAATCGACGTGTACCTAATAAGACTGGCACCCAGACTTACATTTACTATCTCATATTTGGAAATAAATTTCCGAGGAACCAGACTGGACACTATTCGATAGGTGGCGCTGTTTACAATCCATGATTGAAACTTGCTCAGTTTACGAAATCATGACTTTGTCTCCAGCTGTGGCTCCCCTTCTGTCCAAATTATTCATTAAAAACCTTGCCACTTTCAGCATTATGGGGTTCAGCATTATGTAGGTGGTTCATCTTCGAAATCAGAAAGAATGTACACAAAAAAGTATCCACGCCACTTTTTGGTGCGTACAAAGTCTGTGGAGAGTCGAGTGCATTTTCAAAGTAATTTCTAACAAAATTGGAAATGTTGCTCAGTCCAAGATTCTCTGTCTTTTCAACATTGTTGCAATTAATAACTGACCTTGATGAACTATTACAAGTGGCGTAAGCCGCGTAAGGATGCACTATTCTTTCCTCGACAATTTTTCCACAATCGACGGAGTTACTCAGGTGCCATTTTTTTAACAACAGAACTTTCAGATAATTATGCATTTCCACCACTCGTGCATATCTGTTCATGTTTTAAGTTGAATACCTGAATTTGTACAGAACACAGAAAATAATTACAAGATTTGAGACATGTGTTTATATGCAGGAAGACAGAGATATCTTTATTCACCAAAGAGTCCAATTAATGCGATATCTTGTTGACAAACCAGTAATATAATGGTGTAAAACTGTGGCAAAAGTGCATTCATGCTCTAGCTGGGCGTCAATCGGTGGGGGACTTTTTTAAAGGGGGGCGGGGTGATATCATATCGTTTGTCCCCCCCCCACTTTTTTCGTCCCTAAATAAAACTTGTAGCCTATTGTAGCCTAAAGGTTATCGTTTGCTATCTTTTGCTCAAAACATTTGTTCTATGTGGTCAGAAATTGCCTCAGATAGCACCACGAGCGTCTAGAATCCAAAAAATGTAGTGGCCCTTAAGCGGGCCCCGAACCCCACGCCGTTAGGGCTTTGCGCTCGCATGAGTGCTCGTCAAGGTTAGTCCTCCCTCCTTTTGAGAAGCAATTGACGCCATTGCATTCATGAACTTTAAGTTTTCTTTGTGAAGGGCCAAAACCCAAGAAACACGAAATGTAGTTAAATTTGAACGGACCGACTGTCAGTGTCGGAAATCTGGCGCGATCCATCTCACGATCGAGCTCATGACAAGTAACACACCGACCCGAAAGTACAGGTATTTTATATCGAAGAAAACAGCGCCTAAAATCTACAAGTTCCTTTCTTTCTTGAAGCACGACAAACTGTTATAGCCCGACTGTAACACTCTAAAAGTCTTTTTTTTTTAAACGTCTTGTTTCAAAACAGAAGGTTTATGTTATGATCACCAAAAATTGTAATTTACAAGTCTGAATAATCTACTGCAGCTGTTAAAGAAGCTATAACTTTATGATATAGGTAGACTTTCTTAAGACTTTCCGTCCGTTTTTAATGGTTCTCAAGGTATTGGTACAAGCGAGCCAGCATGCGTTTTTCACGGAGGTCTTCGGGAATTTCCCCACTCCTCTCCTCTTCTGGGCGTGGCCGTTTGCCTTTAGGTGGGCGTGGCTTGCGGTCATCTTCCCTTCCTCCTTCTCCTTTCTCCCCTCAGCATCCTCTCTCAACTCACGCTCGTCAAAGCCTTCAAGCTCATCTCCACTACCATCTACTTCGCTGCCATCTCTGGGCGTGGCCGTTTGCCACCCTCTGGGGAAGATGGTCTGTTGCCTTTGGGTGGGCGTGGCTTACGGTCATCTTCCCCTTCCTCCTTCTCCTTTCTACCCTCAGCATCCTCTCTCAACTCACGCTCGTCAAAGCCTTCAAGCTCATCTCCACTACCCTCTACTTCGCTGCCATCTTCTGGGCGAGGCCGTTTGCCACCCTCTGGGGAGATGGTCTGTTGCCTTTGGGTGGGCGTGGCTTGCGGTCATCGTCCCCTTCCTCTTTCTCCTTTTTACCCTCAGCATCCTCTCTCAACTCACGCTCGTCAAAGCCTTCAAGCTCATCTCCACTACCATCTACTTCGCTGCCATCTTCTGGGCGTGGCCGTTTGCCACCCTCTGGGGAAGATGGTCTGTTGCCTTTGGGTGGGCGTGGCTTACGGTCATCTTCCCCTTCCTCCTTCTCCTTTCTACCCTCAGCATCCTCTCTCAACTCACGCTCGTCAAAGCCTTCAAGCTCATCTCCACTACCCTCTACTTCGCTGCCATCTTCTGGGCGAGGCCGTTTGCCACCCTCTGGGGGAGATGGTCTGTTGCCTTTGGGTGGGCGTGGCTTGCGGTCATCGTCCCCTTCCTCTTTCTCCTTTTTACCCTCAGCATCCTCTCTCAACTCACGCTCGTCAAAGCCTTCAAGCTCATCTCCACTACTATCTACTTCGCTGCCATCTTCTGGGCGTGGCCGTTTTCCACCCTCTGGTGGAGGTGGTAGGTTGTCTTTAGGTGGGGCGTGGCTTGCGGTCATCTTCTCCTTCCTCCTTCTCCTTTCTACCCTCGGCATCCTCTCTCAACTCACGCTCAACAAAGCCATCAGCTCATCTCCACTACCCTCCCCTTCTTACCCTCTTTCTCCGCCCATTCCTTTTCCCACTTTTCCATCTCTTTTTCCCACTTTTCCATCTCTTTTTCCCATTTTTCTTCTTTGCTTCCGCCATTCTTTCCCTCCCCATCCCTTTTCAGTCCGCGCTCCCCAAGACGCTCAAGCATCTCATCCTCACTCAGCTCGTCTGGGAGATCTCCGCTTCCTTCTTCTGGGCGTGGCCGTTTGCCACCCTCTGGGGGAGGTGGTTTGTTCCCTTAGGTGGGCGTGGCTTGCGCCCCTCTTCGTCTTCCTCTTTTTGTCCCCCTTTCCCTGCTTTTTCCTTTCTATCATCATAGTCCCCTCTCGGCCCGCCCTCCTCTAGATCGGTCTCAACCATTTCATCTGATCCTCACTGCGCTCCTCTGGAGCAGATCCGCTGGCTCTCTTCTGCTCCTCCTCCTCCTCCTTTTCTCCTTTCCCCTCCTTTGGTTTGCGTCCATCTTGCTTGTCTTTCAATTGGCGTTCCTCTGGGGTGGTGGTCCACTGTCCTCCGCCTCCTTTTCACCTTTCCCCTCCATTGGTTTGCGTCCGTCTTGCTTGTCTTTCATTTGGCGTTCCTCTGGCTTTGGTGGTTTGCCGCCCTCTTGAGACTTGTCTCCTGGAAGTAAATATTAAAAAAATAGTAAAAGTAGATAGTAAAAAGCCCCTCAAATTAATCGTTGAACTTTAAGAACAGTCCACCAAGTGTCTAGGACACATTTCTTCTCAAAGACATCTAAACCTCTGGCTATTGACGAAGACAATCCTCTTGTAGAGTACTGCAAGTTTATCATATGACGAAATCCTCGAAAGTTGCAGTTATCCATCATGCAAAGCATCAGCCCAAAGTGAACTTTAGCCCCCTATCCTCTTAAAGATTGTCTTTTCCCCACCGGATCTTACTGGCGAGTTCCTCAAAGCAACCTCAACTGAACCAAGATTCGAAAAGAGTTCCGTTTGGACTGAGGCATCGACCGATCAACATGAATGCCCCCAAAAGTTACTGTGTCATAATGCTTACCCTTTTCAACCTCAAGCTCGCCCAGTTTCTCCATCAACTCCTCCTTAAGGCCTGCCTCCTTCAACTCTTTCAACAGCAAGCGGCGCTCGTCATCTGAAAGAAAAAGAGGAAGCAAATTAATTGATGAGCAACATTATTTTATAGTCCACAACGTGTTCTAGTTAAGGGGCATTCACAATGCTATTTGATGTCACAATGCTATTTTGATGTTTCAATGACGAACTTGTGAAAATAAATGGTTTGACCGTCGAGTACAAACTGTCGTTCTAATGGCGAAAAAACTAGCCAACCAGACTTGATTTTAGAGCCGCAATGGGTCGGCGGAGAGTTTATAATTTTGACGTGAAGTGGCTCTTAACCCTCTTACCTTCGAGCTCGGCCAGTTTCTCCAGGAGTTTCTCCTCTTGTTCAGCTTTCACCAACTCCTCCATCAGATCACGGATGTCGTCATTATCTTTGGTCGGTCTGGCCTGGCAGCCTACGAAGAGGCAGGCCACGCCTACCAGAAGGATCACCTTCATCATCCCGAGTGTTTTCTAGAGAGAGATAATTATGCCTACTATTAGAATATGAGTCGTAATTATGAACAAATACATTGACAAATTGGGGGAACCACAAACATAGGGCTGGATAGCTCAGTTGGTAGAGCACCGGAACGGTAACACGGAAGTTGCAGGTTCAAACCCCGCTCCAGTCCATTCATTTGTTAAACTTTTCCATTTTTTTTTTTTTTTTTTAAATATGAGACACTTTAAAAACTACTCCTGCGCGAAAGGTCTTGATATGAAGGGAAGTCAGGTTGGCGCAGCGGCACTTTTCTCGCTCCACCGTTGTGACCCAGGTTCGAATCCCACCTGGGCCAATGTGTGGATTGGGTTCCAGTCCATACCAAAAATAGTTAATTTAATCGAAAGTCACAATTGGTAGTGATTGTGTGGCAAATTAAGTTTGAAAATCATTATTGAACTATAGGTTAGACGGTTTTCCCCCAGATATATTCTTCTGGGGTTTTCCTTCTACACTCTAAAACGGTAACTTCTTCTCATTGTCTTCTCTTTACAAGTTACTTCAGGCTTTTGAGCTACAGTACCTAGGTCACTTTGAGGAATCATTCGTTTCATTACCAGAAATAAATAATAATTATGATAAAATAAAAACAACGATATTTCTGTATGGTCGATCCAAATTCAGAAACTGTAGGCCTAACGCTCAAAACTATTGGTTGATAATTTTTTTTACGCCAACTACTGCTCACTGAAGATACGATAGCTTGTTTTAAACCAATAGTAGCTCTAGTTGCAATTGGTAAGGACTAAGGTGGAGTTTAAGCAAGACAAATGTGGATATTTTTGAACGTGCAGTTCCGTCTAAACTGGTTCAATCGGATTGAACACTCAACTCACACGACTCACAAAAAGGCGACTTTTGATTTGATTAACCTTTAGGAGATCTAATAAGTTGATGAAATTCTTGGCTTGTTACAGTTACAACTTTCTTGGGTGATGTGAAATGAATACAAACACATTAGACAATTAACTACCATGAGGCATTACCAAACACGCAATAAACATACGGTTGTCATTTCAAGTTGTTTAATGATGTAATTGTAGCCGAATCTTGGTACACAAACACGCGCCGATGATATGCCAATATGAATTGGGGAAAATAATTGACGTTTATGAACGCCGCAAACTTATCAACTTTCTCCAGGCTGCACCGTGAACAAGTTGTACCTGTGACAGGTTTGCATTCCGTACATCTACGCATGCGTAAACACCATGTTAGTTTAAAATAGGATTGGTACATGTACGCCTATGTGTTAGTTTGCAAATAAAAAAAAACCCGTGCAATGAGTAAAGCGAAACCGAACTGCCGTGACGAAAATGTTACCACAAGTATATATATTTTTTTCTGGCCTCTCTGAGCGGTTTCAGATGTTGTTAAAAACAATTGTTGCTCCGGTTGCGCAAAACACTAATGAGCTACAACAGGCGAAGCTCACAATGCCAAAAATACGCATGAAATTTCTCAAACGAATTATGGGATTATTTGAGGAAATACATACTGAATATTTCAAGTAATCTGGTGAAGAAAATCGAGGAAAATATACTAACTCTACAAAACAATACATTTCTTATAAGGATGGCGCGAAATGTTGGACTTAACAACATCATCTTAATTTCCATACAACTGAAAAAAGAATGTTTTACACATTCGAGTATTAAGAAATGGCAGTCCGGCTAACAAAAAAATATTTGCCCTTTGGTAAAACACTTTCGATTCCAATGATTTTTTTTAATGAGGATCAGTTGGTCAACATTAACAAAAACAGGTATATTCTGCTTTACATACAGGATGTCTTTAAAAAAAAAAACCGATCCTTTAAAGCGCCTCTTATTTCACAGCTTTAAAAAAAAATGCATCGCAAACATCTATACATCTTTAGAGAGTATAGTTCATTAGCTTTCTCACAACGAAACTCTTTCCATTCGGGTAAATATTGATTGAGTTACGGGCAATTGAAAACAAGCGCCGCTCTTTCATTTTGTCCACGCAACTGATATTTTGACTGCCGCAATAAAAAACTGTTCGAAACTTGCATTGTGAAAAGGCTATACCAAGTAAAGGGCAGAGACAAAGCAGCAAAGTAACATCTAAGAAGTGAACCAAACAATCCTTTTCTGGACTACCTTTACTTCCAAAAGGATAAATAGCCATTGTTGCAAAAAATTAAAATAACAGAAACCCAAATATAGAAAGAAAGAATAAAACATTAAAGAAAGCCAAAACTACCCTGCACCCCAAATACATTTCATTTCTGACAAATGACAATTGAGACCGTGGACAGATTGAAAACTGGGCGCTTACTTTGAATTGGCCATAACTCAATAAATATAATCGGAAATATGTTTTCGATGTTGAAAAGCTACTGAACTATTCTCTCCTGTGTACGTATCGATGTTTTGCGATGTAGTTTTTAAAAGCTGTGAAAAAGAGGGAGATTTGAGGGTTCCTTTTTCTTTCAAGTTTAGATACTATGTGTAACAATTTTAAATGAAATGTAAGGGCTGTAGAAAAAGATAACAATTGCTATTGTAACTTACCCGATGTCTTGAAAAAACGACGGAGAAACTGCTCTGTTCTCCCTGTCCAGCCGACAAGTGCTTGATTAACTCAAGACCCCAACGGGATCCCCTTTTTATTAGCTCTCCACTCCCCTAGCGAACCAAATCCTCAGCTCAAACTCAAACACTTTGTTTATTTACTAATTTTAAAATAGGGACAGGCTAAGTATATTTGATTTGATCGTGTTTGGTACTTCGATGCCAGGGGGAAACATTTTGGGAGGTTTTGTTTTTAGCTGGGTTTTCGAAACTTGGTCCCGATGACGTCAATGGACTCGTCGATTATCACAGAAGGGGATCTCTCATTTAGGTTGAAAGAAAAACTTTAATAATTTCACTCAATAATTGTGCAAACATCAGAATCTTAAGTCAGCACGAAATACATAATTCAGATCATATAGGTTTTGTTAAAATGGGCAGCATTAACTTTTGGATGTCTTCAAATTTATGATTCTCTCACTTTTGAATGAGTGGACTCGTCCATTCATATTTTTGTTATAGTTGTCAGGTCTCAGGTGTCAGGGGTTTTTAATGAGTAAACTAAATACTCCAAGCCACCTCGTGCCAGACATGTGATGCCTGAAAGGACCAAGACCCGAAGTATGAGCATGTTGAGTGCAGTTTATAATTTGTAACCACAAATCAACATTCAAACATCCACAGGAACTTATATTTTTATCTTAAAAAGTCCAATATCATTTTATTTGTAAGAAACTTTTGGGGACACATGTTCCCATGGGTCACTCCAATATCCCGTGCATCGCCAGGGGCTCATCCTCTTCACCAGGGCTCAT